ATAATATCTGTATTGATTTGGGACTGAAAATTGAAACCAACTGTACACTTTGTAACAAACTTATTCGTAAAAAAACTCAAAATAGATCTGTGACATTTTAGGTATACATAAGTTGAAGATGTTTTATATCATAAACAGATTTGAGTTACTTCATGTCCGTAAGAATGAGGGAGTACTAAACAGCTGTTCTGTCGTAGTTTTATATACTAACAGAGTGGTGTGGTCTAGCAGTTAAGGGGCTCTACTTCCAATTACTAGGTTTGTATATCTAACCTCGACTTACTACTTTGGTCTGGCCAATCGGGCAGTACCACGCTAGCTCTTTCAGATGAAAAGTGTGACCCAAAGCTAAACAAACAAACCTATCCTTGATTATTAAGATGCTTTATTTGTATTATATATTTTTCATTTTAAACATTGGGTCGTAGGTTTACGATTATCACAGCATCGTTTACATGAATATTGGAGTACGACCTTCATACAATACGACGAAATCAAAACTTCGGTCGCAATCCTGGATGAGTCATATACTTTCATTAGATATAGTCGTCAGTAGCTATTTCAGTCAATAAAAAGCATGTGAGAATAACTTTAACATTACAACAGCTTATTATTTAAATTAAACCAAGAAACTAGTTATTCGTATAGTACGTAATAAAATGGATCTAACAGAAATATCATTGTCATAGCTCCCTATCGAAAATTTATGATAAATTATCTTACTTTCTTCTCATACTTTTTTAACTCCTTTTCTAAGATATCACTTCGATCAGCACATTTGCTAACAGCTAAGATCACTTCTGATACTCCAACCTACAGAAAATCAAGAAAAAGGGGAATTACAACGGGGTACAAATATACTAGCAAACGACACCGATGAACATATAAAGTACTAATATACAAACAATTTCATACATATGATAAACATGAAATGGGTTTAGTATTACTGCATTTTAGTGGGAAAACTAATCTTATTTTTCATAAGAGATACTCTTTTAAAGTATGAACTAGTTGATGAATCAACTATCTGTGGGTGAATCGAGATGTGGATTCGTTTTCTAGAGAATTCTATCACTTAGTATTATATAACAAACATTTTTTAAGATCGGTTGCTTGGCCTGAATACTATGGAAACGGGCAAATGGAAACGAAAAATAATGAGTTGGTCCATTTTTCACAATTGATTGCTATCAAGCTATAAGGAGAGCGACAAACTGATCACCATGTTTAATCTAATCGACTAGGTCACAAGACGAAGTATTTGCTTAATCTTAATTTATCACCAATTACAATCCAGTTAAGTAATTGAACACTACGAAAATGACTGCAAGACATAAAAAAAAGAGATCGCTGTTAAGAAAAAAGGAATCTCATGTTGCTCGAATAGTAGCTGAATTAACGAACACTAACTTGCCCCCAAAAATTCATATTTGTAAATACAGTGTATAGCTTTATGGCTCATAAGAGCTATAATTATATCTAGTCTACCGTACATAATTCTAGATTGGAAAAAACATACTCATGTACCTCAACACTACCAGTTATTTATCTCTAAACTTGGGCGAGAACAAGGAAAAACCGACAATAAAGATAATCCTCGAAATTAGGAATCCAGCTTCAATCAACGATCGACGCTTACACATTATCCTTTTGGAAATTAGATAAATTTTAATTACTGAAACTGTCTAGCATAACACATCAACAATCTTTATGTGTTCGTATATTTCTCGTAACTCAGTCTCGACCGTTGGTGCTACATTGACGTAGTGCTCAAGCTTGTCTATCGTAATGAATAAGTAGAGCTAGACTGGCTGGAAAAATCGTTCGTCAAGGTCCAGCAGTGTCAGACAGGTCGGTTGAAGAGCGGTAAGACTAAAAGCAGAAAACCCAAGGTCCGAAAGCGAAGTCATACTGCTGACTGTACAGAGGTATGGCGGCAGTAAGGTGTTTTCTCCAGACAACCAGCATAAAAGCGGTTCTGGATTCCCATAAGGAAGCGTGGGGTCAGAAAAGGTCAACTCCTAACCCAACTTTCTTTTCAGTTACCTGTCGAACCCTTTCATGGTGTGGGCAACCGGGAAGTGATATCTACCCTCATATCTCTAACGGCTCTCAAGGTCACTGTATTCATAATCGACTTCACTCGTCAATCTCTATTATTTTTCCTACATTGACTTTCAACTATAAACTTCCTCTTTTGACTTCCTTCTCAAGTGTCACCATGGCCAATGATTTTAGTGCACAGATTACTATCCAGAGTCTACTGAAATCTGGCTCCAAACTACATATCGGAGCCTTCAGCGTAGGCACCCTATGTCAAATCGCCCAAACTGATTTGTGGTAGAAATGTGGACCACTGGATTCTAAGTCACTGAACTAAAAAGAAGCCGTGATTTGTAGCGTTTAGCCAGTCAAAATTTATATTAGACTTACACTATATTTTACAACCATTGTTAAATCCCTGAGTTGCAAAAAGCATCATTTTTAAATGTTTTGAATCGCGATTTCTGATTGTTATTGTAAAGTACAACGCAAAAATATGGAGAATAAGTTACTGCTCAAGTGGTATTTTCCGAATCAACTATTACAATTAAGTGATGCATATACTACGGCTTCCTAACACTCAATTTGGTATATATCATCATAGGCTAAATATATTGTTTAGGCAGCAAAAGAGTTCTAAAGAAGTTACGAAAATCAATTTTAAAAACGATATAATCACTAAGTCACACATTTTGAAAACAAATCCAACTTATACCCAAAATAAAACAATCTTACTTTGGCAAGGGCTTCAATTTGATGTAGTAAAAGTGGTTTGTTGCAGAATTCCACTATCGGTTTGGGATAAGTTAATGTTAAAGGCCGAAGTCGAGTGCCATAACCTCCAACTAAAATAAGTGCTTTCATACTGTTATATCAATCGACCTTTTACAATAGAAAAATAAGCATGACTCGTTATTTACTGAAGAGGAATTAACTGTCTGTTTATTCAATCTTTTGTGTGAGAAATGAAGTTACGTTTCTCAAAATGAAGTACAACATAAGCAACTTTCGGTTCATGATTAGGTCTACTATGTCGTGGTAGTTACATCCGAGGGCAGAAAATTGTTTGCAGAGAACTTAGGCAGTTTTTCGAGTGTTTCTATTAACTAATGTCTACATGACAAAAATACCCTAGTTTGGGGAATAACAATTCCATGAAACATTGAGATGGATCGACGTTGAACTCTATGGTTTGACTTGGTGTTATGATATGATACAAAACAAGCCGCGTTGAAGATTTAAATGTTATAAGCAATTAGATGCGCACTACGTAGTTTATGTGAAGTGTTGATACTTAAAAGTCAAACAGTTAAGGAATATTTTTAACAGATCAGTGAGAACTATATGAAGTAAACGTGAAGTAACGTAATTGCTTGAATATATGCCGAAAAATTATAAGAACGATATAGTTTTATATACTGATATGGACTATATATGTATATGTATACGTGTATACAGGAGTTGCTGACATGAGACGTAGCCAAGCTAACAAAAAGATTAGGTATTCTGCATCTTCCTTAGGTGTGTTTGAGAGAATAGTAACTGTCGTTGCTAATGAGATGGTCTGTTTACTAATATACCTGGGTAGTATTACGGAAACAGAAAACTGATAATAATGACGTATATAAACACAGAGAAATGAGCGAAAAACGATGGGCAACTACTACTGAATTTATTATTATTACGGGGAACCGACCTCGTAAAAAGCGGCAGCCAGCAGAGTAGTAAAATCAATGCAGTTAAACGAATATACTACACCATATCACAAATAACGTCTTAGGTACAAAACGTGAGTTTCATATGAGATTTGAATAGAATAAATCTCGTAATTTTGAATAGATTGACGTGACTACGACATTTCTTGTTGTAATCCAATGTGTGGAGGATAGTTAAAGTAAACATTTTGGAACTAAATGGTAAATATGGTTGTGGACAGAATAGAAGAAGCTCTAGCTTAACGGGCTTAGGTGTCGGGTAGCAATGGATCACCTATACTTCCAGGCAGGAACCTAGTTATATTAACGATAATAGAGAAAAAAGTAATGTTATCCTTAGTCCTTAGTCCTCTCAAAGGACTCCTGTGAAGCCGCTTTTAGTAGCTAATTCGGCAGCGAATTTCAACATTTGACAACTCATAGGGAGTAGAAGTTGTGTCTACACTACATCCCGCTATGTTAGGTCTCCAGTTTCTGGGTGTCGCCCCTCAGGTTTGTATTGCGAATAAGCTTAATTAGATGTTTAAGAGGATGTCCAGAAGTGTTACGGATATTGTAAGCCATAATAATGTCACCTCAAAGACGCCTTTACTCTGACGGTAAAGGTTAAGTGACTGGATGTGCTCTTCATTTTGCTTGAATTCGAGTCCTCGAACTGATTACTTGGCTGGACGTTTGATGCTCTCCGGAGTGTCCCTATCCTATTGGAGTGAGTGAAAGAAATACTATGTTTACGTACTCTAAATAGAGACAAATTAAACTGTTGAAGATTGTATGAAAAGTTCTACCGTCAAACTAGCGAAAAATGCACTTCAGTGTTACCAGTGCAAAGTTAGCTCGAAAGTCGTTTTGTCACAGCGCAAGACTTCAAGTCGTAGGGTACCAACATTCCCAAATCTTTTTCGACTTCAGATACTTCTAGAGAGGAGTTCCCTGAGTTGTAAGTGTAGTCAGCTACATGTCGCGGATGGACTTCTTCGCACTTTGAAGTGTTGCAAGTAATTCCACTGTCGCCTGTCCAACTTTGAAGTCGAGTCAGATCCTCTTGAAGTACCAGTACCTGATAAGTTTGCCTTGACTTAGCGAGAGTGAGAATATCACGCTGAGCGGTATTGCCAGGATTGAAGCTGCTTCCCTCAGTAGAGCAGAATGAACTTGTTTTGGGACTCATTAACTTCATCATCACTCTTAAAGTTGGTATATTCTTGGCCCACCACAAATGCATAAGAATGTACTGAAAATATTAATCTCGGTTTCAAGTCTTCCTTACGTTTACGAGTTCTGAATTTTATCCAACTATTATTTCCACCTATTTTTATATGAGCTTTCTATAAAATAAATAATTTGATCTTTTGTGTCTTGATACACTGAGAATAGTGACCAGACTTTCCTACATCCTCGAAGTAGTAAGAAGAATAACCATTCCAATTTACAAGCAGTGATGCATGTCAAAAATGCATCTTAAAGGATGATCAATGTGAGGCCTCCATATATTCCGAGGATAAATATTTAATAAGTCACTCCTAATATTATTAATCCCGAATAGATGAGATGAGTATCTCTGAACAGTTTCAAGTAGTCGTGAATGAAATGTGAGAGTCATCCACTTATTGAGCTCATGTTTAGAAGCAAATGAACAAAAGTTCATACATGTACGAACGTAGGTACAAAAAGCATGTAGAAGTGAGAGAACTATCAGTGAAAGCTTAAGAATCCACCATTTTGCTTCTTGAAGGGCCACAAAGAAGTTACGTATACCAGTTTAACCAGTGATGAATCACTAGACCTCACCATTTGTAAGGAGTGGAAGATGTGTCTTCAGTCACAACCTGTATTACACCCATTTCTAGGCATTACCTCTAAATCTGGTTTCGGAAATGAACATTAATAGGCACTTTAAAGGATGTACATAGGTATTGAGGATGTGTAACAGCTCAGGTTGGTTGGTTAAGAGTTGACCCCAAACAACCAAGCATATGCTAAAGCAGTATTGTTCAAGTATTCATTCACTTCCTTACTTTTTGTAAGCGTTATATTCCCTATTATCTTATATTGAATGTTGAGAGCCTTTGTTTGTCGGAACAGATAAACCCACGCTCCACTGTGACTGCGCGAAGATCGAAATAAAGACCTATTCACTACTTCTCTGGTTTCTTCTATCAATAGCACGAGGGTTACCTTAAGGCACGAAAGATGTTCTGAGCCAATGATTGGGTGCCACTTACGTAAGACGTTACTCACAAGGCTTGGATGTTAGTGGTAGCGTCAGTCCCTAACCACACTGCTCTTGAGGTTAATCTCCCAACAAATGGGAGGACATACTAGACATTATAACTTCAGGAAGGTCAGGAGAGGTGTGAACGGGGTCGCGCAATCGAGAAGGCACGGCTTATTCATACAAATATAGTTACTAAATGCAATATTTCGCTCTTTACGTTGGGTTTAGTACTCTAACCTTTGTAAATTTGTGGTCTTAAAGGGGTCATAGCGATATCACGATAGGATGAGTCAGTCTAGACTAGGATGTGACTTCAACGTAAGATAGTATAAGTCAGATAGTCATATCAATGAGTTAAGTCGACTACTCTCTTAGCATAGATGAGTGGCGACCTTATCCTAAATTCTACATGTAAAGTGATTTACTGACTCACATTTACAGACTTCTCAAAGCATTCTTATCCTCCAGGGACAAAGAAAGCTTTTTGTAGTGACATCGTGTTAAACTGTGCCGACATCTTGATCGCGGTATGTTTTTGCTATTTATACGCGTCATGGATGACTGCTAACATTCTGACTCATCACATTCAGTTGTCAGGTAGCTTGTTTTCTGCAACTTATTTTATGTTTCGAGTACAAGGTATACTTAATGATCATAGTACTCTCTGGCTTCCTGTGATTACGAATAATGTAACCGTATTCCGTTACTTCACTTCTAGGTTGATACTGGTAGTGATCCCATTGCACTCGAAGTTAAGTGAACAGGAAGGAACTAATGACTTCGTTTCTGTGTTGTAAATGAATTTAAAGCCAAAAACAGACGTTGCCTAGATTCTATAATAATAATAATTTATTCTCAAATAAAAGTTTGTTACATGAGGTTTACCGGTTTACAGGCAAGATCAAATTGTTAAAGAAGCAACAATTTTCACTGTTGAAAATTACTCAGCTGGGTTGATATTTCATAAGATATGAATGTAAATGGATTTCGTAAGGATCATGTCAATATCACACTTGACGCACTTTATGGAGGTAGCGTTGCAACATACAACTGATGGTCGAGAATAGATACATGCGAAGTTGGGGGCATTTAGAAGTTTCGAACTTATATCCCTCCAGAATATCGGAAGCTTGAATATCGGTGTAGGACGAAGTCACCCGTGCCATATCTGTTTTCGGTGGAGTATCTGCAGGGGGCTGAAAAGAGTGTGAGAAAAAGGATGGACGAAAAGCAGAGCACACAATATTCATGGAGGAATATTAAAGGTATAGGCATTTAGTCTATTTGTCTTCTACTGAAGTACTTATTAGGTAAGAACATATTAATGTGTTAAAGAAAAATAAGTGTGGGCAAGGTATGAGTGGATAAGGAACTGTATAAATGAAGGTAGTTCAGAAGGAAGTGTGGAATTATGAAATATAGTACTGAAAACAGTATTCCGATACAAATGACTGTCTCCCTTTACTTTAGAAGCTGTTTGAACTCTTTTTTTGTTTTTTAGATTTTATAGGGTATAGAGTGGGCTTCGTTTTTAGTCAATTGTCTAGTTTGCTTGTAATAGGATTACTCGGTAGGAAATGGAACCAATACAGCTTTTTTTAACGTGATTTAAAGGGTATTTTGCATGAACAATTTCGCATCAGTACCGTTGGTTTGTGACATCCCACTATAGAGCCTACATTGAAAGTTAGATACTCTTCTCTCATGTAGATCAATTCAAAAACAACGGTTGAGTCAAGTACAGATCTAATTTCAAAGATTGTAATTATGAATTACACAAAATGACTAAAAGATAACAAGAAAAGAACATACAGTACGAAGCGTATTTCAATAATGTTTGACACAGTGAAGACCAAAGTACACCACGTTATAAATTGCTGGGGTCCAAAATGATCTACTCGTAAAATGTAAGACAGGGCCCTTTCCAATCAAAAAACCTTCACAGTGATATGAGTCAACCAACTCAGAAGGAAGCTGATCTAAACTTCAGACAGTAATATGCTCTACTATTAAACAGGAAACGTGATTTATATCATTAGAAGTAGCCAGTGATCCTGACAAATGGCGATAACCAAAAAACTCACTTACTCAGTATGGCACCCGTCGAAGTTCAATAATGAAATTTAATAAGATCATAAGAGGCAGTGGAAAACCATATAATATCAAGAAAAACTACAATTTTTTAAAAGATGTGTGATACTAATGTTCAAGTTAAGGCATCAGAAATGAAATTCTTGCATATAAGAGAATTATGGTATTGGGTGAAGTGTGTCCATTGATACAGATAACAATAGAAGGAACGTCCTGTACAGGTGAAAACAATGAAATATCAGTAAGGTGAAAACACACTGGGAGATTCTCTTACATATTCACATATCAACGTACGAAAGGATTTTGAAGTGAGGTCGAGTGAAGCTTAACAGTTAAGTAAAACATCCTACTATCAAACCAGACAGAAATGCCTATCAAAGTTACTTGTGAAGGGTTCCCTCTACAGACATTTTGTTCAGTTAAGCATAAGGTTTAATATCAAAGAGCCCCCAAAATCTGATTCTTTTCTAACCTGTAGAACGTTTAGAATTTGATCACCCAAGCAATATTTATAGTGGCAGATTCTTCTAAAACATCTACTAATCATTGTAGTTTCAAACTCCCATCAAGGGCCTGACGTTATTAGCAAGAAGTTAGGTCACAGAGAACACTTAAGTTGTAGAACCCTACAAGGAGATTTTATAGCTTGAGATGAGAAAGTCGATTATTTAGATATGACTTAAGCCAGCATATCGATACTAACAAACTGACTCCTGGTCCACCATACTCGTGCAATCAACATTGCCAGTCCATTTATCAACCGCAGTTACCAGATTCATGATTTTGCTGCTAGAGTGAAAATAAGTGGATATGAGGTAGTTACATGGCTCACCATAAATTAGAGACTTCATACAGTCCAGTGATATTGAAAACGGTATGACAAACCGGTAGATTAAAAGGGACATTCTGTTGGCATTGTAGGGTCACTGAATACCAAACAGATCATTGATCCCTGTCAAGGTCAAGGATAGTCAACGCGCATCAATCATATGCCATGGACTGGCCCACGCGGTAGTGGTTGTTGCTTCACTTCTGCACCTTCGTGTTTGTACCTTAACTAATATATTCTTGTAATAACGTCCTTTGTGTTGTATAGTCTCTATAGCATCCATGGTCCTTTAATGCGTCGATGGTTCAATCCTCGTGAGGGCTGGTCGCGAGGTGTGACTTCAGCGTTAGTTGGTTCGTCACCATTCTCGTCTAACAATAGTAGGCCCCCAATCATTTTGACATAGAACATCAACGTAGATGTTCTACACTGGTGAGCAAGACTTCGAATAACGCAAACTATCATTATGATTTTTTTATTACATTCTATACTTATTATTTTTCATTTTTAACTTTGGCTATCTTTATCAGTTTCTGTGAACATTCGTTGCTTCATATCAATGTTGATTAGTATTTCAACTGAAATAATTAGTTCAATCGATAGAACTAACCAATCAACTACGACTATAATCGACTATCGTGGTTCTTTAACAAGCATTAGCGGCATGTTAATGCTCCTGTGTAATATGTCTGTTAAAATATCAACCACTCATAAGTATAGCCTCAAGGAAACACGAACGCACGTCAGTTTGCAACTTATCCACTTGCATAACCAATACAGGATTAACTGTCGATTATAAATTCATCTTTCTGCTTAATCACTTTCAACCAACTACTATCAAAACTATCTACTAGAATATTTTACTTTCTTGACCACTGCCTGCCTAATTTCCAATTGCTGCGTTCCATGGCGAATCAGAAGATACGAATGCTACAAATTTACGGTGAGTTTGAACTATAAATTTCTTGCAATGTTAGATCTTGTTTAGACTGTTTCGCCAGGCTACGTGTTTGGCGCAAATTAAATTTGGACGTATACCAAATCAGTCTACAACGCTTCGTTAATCTACGAATTTGATCAACAAATTTCAATTAATTTGGAGCAAGAGTAACCCAGGCGAGTTTTATAACTGCATTAGATAATTACGTATAATGTTTATGATGACTAATAACATTTCGCGACTATTTTCACGTAAAGTAGTCATATATTCTGTCACTGCCGTAAAGTTTTAGTCGAAACCATGTACATTTGTGACTCGTAAGTCATGCTGTTGAAAAACGTATTACGTGTACACGAGCAATCGTAGTCTATGTCCTTACTAGACAATTCGTCGTATTTAATGTCACTTAACACGAGATAATAAGCTCTTTTACGAAACGATCACGTTATCTAAACCTTAACTGTAGTTACATTGGTGGTTACCATTTAAATTAATGTTTACTATGCGCTTTGTATTTGCTGTTATCTCACACAGTAAATCATGGCTCGATCTCCTTATTGCACGAAAGTCACTTTAATTCCGTCTTCGGCTTATTCACATGCAATACGGGTTTGGAAAATATTTAAACGTCTTCTGAAATTCTCCACAAACCCCACGATAGTCTTCGTATATGTTTGCTACTGCACATCCAATTGCTACATAAACAATGCCCAAACGAACGTTCAGTACAATTGTCAGTATACGAAACAATGTTACTTCGATGTGACATTACAACACATCCGAACTATTGTAGTTATTCAACTTCGACGTCGAATTTTTATCTTATGAAGTATTGTTTCCGCATGGCTGTTATCTAACAGATGATTTCGGTACATCGATCGGCTGTTCAACTACTCGACGAAAGCGCGCTATTTAAAAGGACAGTGGTATTGTTTCACGTTGAGTTTAATTTACTGTTTTGAACGTAAATTACGTATCAAAACGACCGTTTACACTTTAATTGAATTTATTTCAGTTAACGTGACATTGTATTTGTGTGTTTTGATCCTGCTTTTGTGTATTTACTGCATCAAAGCATTCTTGGTCGACTGAGGCTTGTTTATTTGATAAGGTTGTGATTTATCTTACATATCTACCTTGCCTATCATTTTGCTTTATTCTAAGATGGTCGGCTCTGTACACAAGTGTGGACAGCCATATTGCTTATTCCCCGTGGAAGAAGGGATGCAGTGTGACGATTGTAAGAAGTGGTTTCATAAAATGTGCACCCGCTTAAGCCCTGCTGCCTATAAAAGGTGCTCGAAACCAAATTCTCATTGGCTCTGTATGTTTTGTTGCTCAAGTAAGACATTACTCATTCAGGAAGCCATCAGCCTTCTAGCGTTAGCTAAAAAGGTCGAAGTAGGCCGTGCCGGCAACATGGATACTGATAATGAAGATTGTATCAGTGTCGTAAATGCTGCCATGGCAGGTACCAGACACCCAATTTCGCAACATGAAGCAAAAATTTGCACTCCGATACAACCAATGAAAGCCATGCCATTAAGTACTGAGGGACCAGTCGCTTTAGCAGCGACTGAGGAACCGGCTAGAACCACTATCGTCCAGAATAGTTCCAATCTGGATGCTGAGAATAGTGGCAAATGGATTACGCGGAAACGCAAAAGAGACGGAAAAATACCCAAAGAAAGCGCGCGTATAGTCGGTAAGTCATCGTTGGACTCACGTCCTGAGCATCAGGCAACTCCGCTCAAGTCCAAATGTAAGGAAATATTTAATACTGTTGTGGATGGAAATAGTCTAACTTCACCAAATGTTGTTGGGAGTAACTCACTTGACCCACATGACATTGTGATAAAGAAAGCTAATAGCAAGAAGCCGGTAGCTAACCGGCAGGATCTGACATCACGGTCAAAGGCCGTGAACACGACTTTTAAGGCAGTTAAACAGGTGCCTAGTGTAATCATCTGGAACTTGGCAGAATCGAAAGACACCGATCCCGCTAAGAGACATGCCCACGACCTGCAGTTAGTCGGATCTCTCATCAGAAATATACTGCCAGAGGAGGTCCCAGGGGTACATATCTCGAAAGTCATCAGACTTGGTAAGTATGTTGGAGGCGAAACCCAACAGAGAAGGATCCTCAAATTAGTACTCGGTAATTTTCAGGAAAGGGACGTATTACTAAATAACTCACGCAAAACTCGTGACTCAAACATTCGTATTAGACCTGACTGGCCACTTGAGGATCGGATCAAGTGGAAGAATGCCCTAACAGAGTTAAAAACTCGAAGGCTAAACGGTGAAACGAACCTTACGATTAAGGGTTTCCGGGTAGTCAGGTCAATGCTTCCGAGACCTGTGTGGGTAGAACGCATGTCTCCAAAAACACCCTAAATGTGTGTTATACGAATGCTCGTAGTCTTCGGAATAAGATGTCTGAACTAATTTTGATGGTAGACGACTTAAATCCGGATATAATTGTTATCACCGAAACTTGGCTCACTGGGTGCTTCGGTGTCCAGCGCAAATGAAATACCACTGCTATCATTGTTTCTTTACTTATTCAGTGAAACGGGAACGAAATTGTATTTTGGTTCAAAGCACATTTCGGGGTGCGTGGTCTATCGCTGCGTGCTTCGATATCATGGTCATGTCAGATGAGTCGTGGTGCAAATTGCGGTGTTTGAGTCTTGATGTGATGTGCGACCCGTTCTGAAGACCATGTCAGGCGGGGAGTTTGACTGGGGCGGTACATCCGTCAAATGGTAACGCGGGTGTCCTATGGTGAGCTCAGTCAGGACAGAAACCTGGCGTAGAGTAAAAGGGCAAAAGCTTACTTGATTTTGATTTTCAGTACGAATACAGACCGTGAAAGCGTGGCCTATCGATCCTTTTGATGTTATTTTCGGAGTTTGAAGCAAGAGGTGTCAGAAAAGTTACCACAGAGATTGGAGGCAAAATCCGACTCACACGTCCTCGTCGTGCCTCCTGGATCATGGGACTGATTCCATGAACTAACGTGAGCGGTAACCCGGGTGGTGGAGATCGGGCTAATCACCCTCTCTACCTATACCCACCCCTGATTACGAACGCTACAAAGAATCATTGCACAAATATACCTGGAATAAAAAAAGACAAAAAAAATGCCCAAAATTACCAAAAACTTAAAATTGGTTTATGGAATGTCCGGGGTTGCTCACAAGAAAGCAAACTCCAAGAGATAGCAGAGCAAATAGCTGAACGCAAGTACCACATAGCAGTGATCACGGAAACTAGAATGACCTCTAAAATTATTGATATGGATAACAGCGGCTTGAGCTTTTATAACTCCAACCCAAACATTAATGACTACCGAAATACTGGTGTTGGTTTTCTGGTAAATGACCAATCTATGATAACTGTCACCGATTTTGAAGAGATAGATGGCAGAATAGCTACCATTAAAATACACAGTAAAACTGCCAAGCAGACTATTAACCTTATCGGTTGCTACGCCCCAACCGAGTCTTCTAATGATGAAGTTGGTAAAGAAAAATTCTATCTCAAACTAAAAGACACAATTAAAAAGCTTAAACTAAATAAACTTCCTATACTGATCCTGGGAGACTACAATTGCAGGCTAAGCCAGGACCTTCATACTTACTACCCTAACATTATAGGGAAAGCTATTAAACTTGAAACTGAAACATCAGAAAATGGCATGAAACTAATAAACTTATGTAAAACTTTAAACCTGCGAGTAATGAACTCGTTCATCACTAAACCAGAACACAGGACCCATACCTGGGTACATCCGAAAACCCAAATGGGACATGTCATAGATCTAGTGATAACAGAAAATAATTCAAAACTATTGGTCTGTGATATTCATAACAGCCGTTCTATGGAAGCAAACTCAGATCATTATATGATCACAACCATACTGAAACTAAAGTATCTAAATAATAATAAGACTTTTAATGATAAAAGTAAACCCAAAAGAAAACAGAGTAAGGCGATCCACACCTTGACTCCAGACTACCCAAAGATACTAGACACCTTACTCCAAAATAAATGCCAATTAAACCAAGTAGAAAGAGCCATAACTCAAGCAGCTAACAAAGCTGCTATCCCATATAAGTCGGCCACCAAGAGATGGCAGTATAACATAAGCAATCTATTAAAAGACGAAATTAAACATAGAAGACAACTAAGACTAAAGTGGCTAAATAATCCTACAGCTGCTAATAAAAGCCTCTATATGCAAGCTAGTAAAATAGTGAATAATAAGATTAAACTAGCTAAAGACCAGTATATCAAAGATAAAATAAATGAGATGAACACATACTTTGAAAAACATGACCTGCACTTAGCATACAAAATGGTAGATGATATACTGGCTACTATACGAAACCACTCATACAAAGCTAAAAGAGCTAATCAAATTAAAGATAGTGATCTTCAATATCACTACCAAAACCTATTCAATGCTAAACTAAACCAAGATAATATCCAATTGCCGGTAAAAACCACCAACGACTCTGAACTTACTATAAATGAAATAAATCAAAGTTTGAAAAAAATGAAAAATCAAACTACGCCTGGCAATAATGGCATAACTAGTGAAATGATAAAGCAAGGCGGTGATAAACTAAATAACATACTACTAAAAATCATGAATCAGATATGGAAAAATCCATGCACTATGCCAGACCACTGGATAGATGCAGATGTAATAAGTATATATAAAAATAAAGGTTTAAGATCCGATCCAAACAACTATAGAAGTATCTTCTTACTAGATACGATAGGAAAGCTATTCGCAGGCATAGTCTGCAATAGACTTGTCCAACTAACAGATAAATATCTCCCAATAACCCAATTTGGTTTTAGAAAAAATCTGTCCACAGTCCAAGCAATAACGACCTTAAGACATATAATTCAATCCTCTATAGATACAAATAGAACTATAGTACTCACCTTTGTGGACTTAACTAAAGCGTTTGATACGATACCCAAACAAATAATCCTAAATACTCTAAATAAACTATGCCCTTCAAAAAATATAAACTCCTGTATAACCAAACTATTAGATGACCCCAAGGGTTATCTAAAAAATTCAGAACTAAACTTCACGATGAAAAGGGGAGTGAGACAGGGTAGTAAAGAAGGTCCGGCTATCTTTAACTTAGTCTTTCAAAAAATAATAGAACAAACGATAGACAAAACCCTAAAAGGAGTGACTCTTAAAGACCAATATAACAAGATTTGGACAATTAAACATTTGGAATATGCAGATGATTTATGTTTACTTACTAACACAACGGAGGAGGCTACCAAAGCCTTAAACCACCTACAACAATACTTAACCAGTATTGGTATGGAGATATCAATCTCCAAGACTAAATATATGATAATAAATAAAAAAGCTATCACATCAAATGTCAAAATAAACAACAAGGATATCGAAGAAGTAGGATCCTTTCACTATCTTGGATCTACCATAAATAACAAAGGTACTCCGGATTGTGCCATCACCTATAATATAGAAAAAGCAAAAAATGCAATAATTAAAATTAAACCAATACTTAAATCTAAAGAACTCAACCTTGATACCAAAGCCAAGATGGTGGATTCCTCAATAATCCCCATTCTCACATATGGTCTAGAATCAATAGTACTAAGAAAGCAAGATTGGTCTAGACTAGAAGCGGTGTTAAATACAGTAAGACGAATAATTCTAAATATAAACGATAGAAAACAATATACTGTTGAGCAACTTAAACTTAAAATAAACTTACCAAACTTAGCCAGTAAAATCATGCAAAACAGACTAAACTTGTGGTATGTAGCGCATAAAAGACCAAATAACCTAATGGTGAGGTCTTTGTATAGTATCTTTGAAAATCAGTGCAACAATAGGAAGGCCCATACTAAAAACTGGCTAAGACAACTATTTCAAGACATTAAAGAAATGGGTGAGCGCCTTCCTAGTAACTGGATAAACCAACCCAACAAGGTTAAAATAAACGCATATCAAGAACACTTTCCAAAAATAATAGGGAAACGCCAGCTGAACCATGTATGCCAAAATGCAAACTGTAACAGAATGTTTGCTACAATGAAAGAAATGAACAGACACATTAGAAACGATCACCAAAATAAAACTAATAGTGAGTCCCAATATAGCTGTCCCTTAACTGACTGTAATAAAACGTATAAGACGTTGGGTTGGTTAAATAGACACATGCAGTCATGCCACCTACAATATAATCTAACTAAAGCTGAACCCAAAACCAGTTAATAAAATAAACTCCAAAAACGACAAAAATAAATGTCCATACCCAGGCTGCAACAAAACTTTACCAACTAAAAAAGGTATAATAAATCACTGCTATGTAGTACATAAGTGGTCAGCAATCACCGGACAGGAAGTAAAACCAAAGACAAAAAATAATGCAAAAACAGCTATTGCGCCCCGGTAGTTGTGCCGTGCTTCGATGTAGCCTCTTCTCCAGTAGGGCCTACTAGGCTTCACCAACTAGTTTGGCTGGAAGGGGCACCACACGGATGGGAGGCAAAATCCGACTCACACGTCCTCGTCGTGCCTCCTGGATCATGGGACTGATTCCATGAACCAACGTGAGCGGTAACCCGGGTGGTGGAGATCGGGCTAATCACCCTCTCTATCTATACCCACCCCTGATTACGAACGCTACAAAGAATCATTGCACAATTATACCTGGAATAAAAAAAGACAAAAAAAATGCCCAAAATTACCAAAAACTTAAAATTGGTTTATGGAATGTCCGGGGTTGCTCACAAGAAAGCAAACTCCAAGAGATAGCAGAGCAAATAGCTGAACGCAAGTACCACATAGCAGTGATCACGGAAACTAGAATGACCTCTAAAATTATTGATATGGATAACAGCGGCTTGAGCTTTTATAACTCCAACCCAAACATTAATGACTACCGAAATACTGGTGTTGGTTTTCTGGTAAATGACCAATCTATGATAACTGTCACCGATTTTGAAGAGATAGATGGCAGAATAGCTACCATTAAAATACACAGTAAAACTGCCAAGCAGACTATTAACCTTATCGGTTGCTACGCCCCAACCGAGTCTTCTAATGATGAAGTTGGTAAAGAAAAATTCTATCTCAAACTAAAAGACACAATTAAAAAGCTTAAACTAAATAAACTTCCTATACTGATCCTGGGAGACTACAATTGCAGGCTAAGCCAGGACCTTCATACTTACTACCCTAACATTATAGGGAAAGCTATTAAACTTGAAACTGAAACATCAGAAAATGGCATGAAACTAATAAACTTATGTAAAACTTTAAACCTGCGAGTAATGAACTCGTTCATCACTAAACCAGAACACAGGACCCATACCTGGGTACATCCGAAAACCCAAATGGGACATGTCATAGATCTAGTGATAACAGAAAATAATTCAAAACTATTGGTCTGTGATATTCATAACAGCCGTTCTATGGAAGCAAACTCAGATCATTATATGATCACAACCATACTGAAACTAAAGTATCTAAATAATAATAAGACTTTTAATGATAAAAGTAAACCCAAAAGAAAACAGAGTAAGGCGATCCACACCTTGACTCCAGACTACCCAAAGATACTAGACACCTTACTCCAAAATAAATGCCAATTAAACCAAGTAGAAAGAGCCATAACTCAAGCAGCTAACAAAGCTGCTATCCCATATAAGTCGGCCACCAAGAGATGGCAGTATAACATAAGCAATCTATTAAAAGACGAAATTAAACATAGAAGACAACTAAGACTAAAGTGGCTAAATAATCCTACAGCTGCTAATAAAAGCCTCTATATGCAAGCTAGTAAAATAGTGAATAATAAGATTAAACTAGCTAAAGACCAGTATATCAAAGATAAAATAAATGAGATGAACACATACTTTGAAAAACATGACCTGCACTTAGCATACAAAATGGTAGATGATATACTGGCTACTATACGAAACCACTCATACAAAGCTAAAAGAGCTAATCAAATTAAAGATAGTGATCTTCAATATCACTACCAAAACCTATTCAATGCTAAACTAAACCAAGATAATATCCAATTGCCGGTAAAAACCACCAACGACTCTGAACTTACTATAAATGAAAAAAATCAAAGTTTGAAAAAAATGAAAAATCAAACTACGCCTGGCAATAATGGCATAACTAGTGAAATGATAAAGCAAGGCGGTGATAAACTAAATAACATACTACTAAAAATCATGAATCAGATATGGAAAAATCCATGCACTATGCCAGACCACTGGATAGATGCAGATGTAATAAGTATATATAAAAATAAAGGTTTAAGATCCGATCCAAACAACTATAGAAGTATCTTCTTACTAGATACGATAGGAAAGCTATTCGCAGGCATAGTCTGCAATAGACTTGTCCAACTAACAGATAAATATCTCCCAATAACCCAATTTGGTTTTAGAAAAAATCTGTCCACAGTCCAAGCAATAACGACCTTAAGACATATAATTCAATCCTCTATAGATACAAATAGAACTATAGTACTCACCTTTGTGGACTTAACTAAAGCGTTTGATACGATACCCAAACAAATAATCCTAAATACTCTAAATAAACTATGCCCTTCAAAAAATATAAACTCCTGTATAACCAAACTATTAGATGACCCCAAGGGTTATCTAAAAAATTCAGAACTAAACTTCACGATGAAAAGGGGAGTGAGACAGGGTAGTAAAGAAGGTCCGGCTATCTTTAACTTAGTCTTTCAAAAAATAATAGAACAAACGATAGACAAAACCCTAAAAGGAGTGACTCTTAAAGACCAATATAACAAGATTTGGACAATTAAACATTTAGAATATGCAGATGATTTATGTTTACTTACTAACACAACGGAGGAGGCTACCAAAGCCTTAAACCACCTACAACAATACTTAACCAGTATTGGTATGGAGATATCAATCTCCAAGACTAAATATATGATAATAAATAAAAACGCTATCACATCAAATGTCAAAATAAACAACAAGGATATCGAAGAAGTAGGATCCTTCCACTATCTTGGATCTACCAAAAATAACAAAGGTACTCCGGATTGTGCCATCACCTATAATATAGAAAAAGCAAAAATGTTGTATCCCCTGGCGAATTATGAATCATAAATCTGATGTCCATTTATGGACAAATGTAATACGCCTATTCCTATTGGATAGTTGTTAAATGAGTAACCTAAATCTGATGTCTATTTATGGACAAATACAATATGCCCATTCCCTATTGGATAGTTGTTAAATAAGTGACCTAATCGTTTCCGTGTTCCTCTTATCACAACCTTTGTTTTGACCTTGGAACTATTATTATTGATTACTTTCCCCCTAGCTACAGCCACATTGGCCAATTACTGTACAAATGTTATTTTTCTATTTTTTGGTATAATTGGGTCTGTTTGGTTAGTATATATAACCCAGTGTGCTTGTGAATAATGATTCATATTTCCGAGGCTGTTATTTGTGTTCTGGACTCAACTGGCTGGGCTAGGCAGTTAGGAAGGACCGAATAGCAATCAAGACTGCTCGTACGTATTTTCTGTATCGTTGCACGTTTCATATACAATAACGATTGTTATACGTTCATAACAATTGGCGACGGGGATTCTGGAAAGAAAATACAGCAGCCGCTGACGTCATTTCGAAATTAAATAATCCATAATAATTGCCGGTGTTTTTTGGATTTATTATTATTATTTGCATAAAAAAAATATGGCTTTAACCTCCGACCAATTTCAGTTGCTAATCCATCGACAAGAGCAGCGCTTCAGAAAGAGTCAATTGGATTTCATTGACAAATTACACGCGAAGCTGCTGAATCACCCAGGCTTTGGGGGTGAAACGGAAGTTGACGCAATAATTTCAAAATTGCGTACAGAGCTGGAAAACAGTTACAGAACTAATGAATATGCCGGCGAAAGCCTCAATGAATCCATACAAAGCAATAATTTAAGCGCAGCAGTTATACATGATCAGCCCAGTAACCCAGTACTACCTGTTTCAGAGACATGCCCTGTACACGGTCCAAGTCTTATTAATCCCGAAAACGGACGTGCAAACAATGAATTATCCTATTCACAGAAAGTAAATGTCTTGCAAAATGCTCATGAAATTGCTGCAGTACCCGCCCACGAAGAAACGGGAAACAAATCGAGCAGTATATGGAATACAGTGGCACCAAATGAAATTAATCATGATACGGAAAATGTTTCTAATGAATCTAATGATCAAAATTCTGTAATTGTTCTACCAGATTTAGATTATTTTGATGATTCATATGTTTCTGTTGAATTCTCTTATAAAAATGAGAGAAAAATGTCAGATGTATTTAATGATAATCAAGAATCCAATACAACTCTCATAGATACTGATTATCCTAATGATTCATTATCTACTAATGAGGTTCCGAGGAAATTCAAGGAAACTATTTCAGAAGAATCAAATGTTGGTGACCTCGAATCAAATGTCGTCGATCCTCATGATCTCTTCAGTTCTAATGCATTCCCTGTTAAAGGTGACAAACATATCGCATTAATAGTAACTTGGCTATATGAGGATCCAACAGTCTTTCGTGGGGGAGGGTGAATTCGAGGAAATTAAAAATCCGGATTTCTCAAAAAGGGGAGGTGTTGTATCCCCTGGCGAATTATGAATCATAAATCTGATGTCCATTTATGGACAAATGTAATACGCCTATTCCTATTGGATAGTTGTTAAATGAGTAACCTAAATCTGATGTCTATTTATGGACAAATACAATATGCCCATTCCCTATTGGATAGTTGTTAAATAAGTGACCTAATCGTTTCCGTGTTCCTCTTATCACAACCTTTGTTTTGACCTTGGAACTATTATTATTGATTACTTTCCCCCTAGCTACAGCCACATTGGCCAATTACTGTACAAATGTTATTTTTCTATTTTTTGGTATAATTGGGTCTGTTTGGTTAGTATATATAACCCAGTGTGCTTGTGAATAAGGATTCATATTTCCGAGGCTGTTATTTGTGTTCTGGACTCAACTGGCTGGGCTAGGCAGTTAGGAAGGACCGAATAGCAATCAAGACTGCTCGTACGTATTTTCTGTATCGTTGCACGTTTCATATACAATAACGATTGTTATACGTTCATAACAATTGGCGACGGGGATTCTGGAAAGAAAATACAGCAGCCGCTGACGTCATTTCGAAATTAAATAATCCATGATAATTGCCGGTGTTTTTTGGATTTATTATTA